CAGGAAAAAGTTTGGGGACCCCTGATATAAACCATATCCTGATTATGTTCTGTCTGAAAAAACCAACTGAAAAACCACTGAAAAATCTTGAAAGAACTGAGAATAAACATCCAAGCTCTGGTGCGCCTTGATCCCGTCTTTGTGTCACGTAACTGTATTTAAATAGGGAACACGTGGAAGAGTTTGGTAGCTTCTAACGGGAGCTGATTTCGTTCCTATACAGTCTGTGGAAGAGGCTGCGTTTGTGCTCTGTTTGCATGACAGAGCGCACGGACATAGACCAGACAGGTACATATCAACTAGTCTAAGGTAAGAACATATGTCAGTATGTAAAAACGGTGGCCTATTCCTTTAAAATCCAAAACTGAATTTGGTGTGAAAAAAAATTAGCCAGATCTTTTTTTAGCCATATCGCCCAGCCCTAGACTGTAGCAGTAGTCCAGTCTATTTAATGAAACACGTGCACTCACGTTTGTAGCATGTTTTAAATCATATTTTTAGCTTGTATAGTTGTGAGTGTGAACTTACTTCCCGGCGGAGGATCCGGGAGGTCGTTAAAAAGCAGAATCATCATTTTGGTGTTTGGTCGCGCTGCGAGAATCTCATCAAGCTCCGAGCTGAGAGACGCTGTGACTGAAGATCAAACAGATCAAAGAAACAGGATCAAACAAGATCAAACAGGATCAAAAAGAAAGAGGGCATTCATGATCAAAGGTAAAAGCACCCTCACTCACCGCAGCGAGGTCCCACAGGCGGAGCCTCGTTAGGGAGGGGCCACTGAGTCAGGACAGGACACTCAGTAACAGGCTCTGGAGTGGGCGCCCTTCGGCCCTCAGGCTCCTTCCTCTTTAAGACAATGTTTCATGAACATGTGCAATAATAAATGTAACAATGTGGAACAACAAGCAAAAAGGACCATAAACAAACTCACCTTCAGTCTGGGTTCCTGTGCCACCAACGGCCCCTGAGGTGCCACCAACGGCCCCTGAGGGGCCACCAACGGCCCCTGAGGTGCCACCACCGGCCCCTGGGCGACCATTATTGCTTGAACAGATGGAGGCCTCGGGGCAATGAAAGTATGTTTGGGCTCAATCCGAGACCATTGTTTGACCACTGGCCCCTGAGTGACAGTGGGCCCTTGCAGCACTCGGGCCCCTGGGGGAAGCAGACCCACTGGGATGTTGACAACTCCTTGGCCGTGTCCCACAAACACCTGCACTGGCCCGACCCCCCGCACAGGCCACCTGTATGTGATAGGCCCAGCCACCTGCACTGGTCCCCCACCCTGAGTGAACAGACCAATGGGACGTTGATGTTTCTGCCCATTGTTCATAATTAGAAGGGGCCCTGGGAGCCTCTGTCCAATGGGGCACACAGGCCACGCCCCCTGAGCCACAGACCCCACCCCCTGAGCAACAGGACCCGCCTCCTGAGCCACAGGACCCGCCTCCTGAGACCCCTCCCCCTGGGGTTGTTCATCTTTTACTTTTTTCTCTGAAACAGAAAAACCAAGAAAAAAAAGAAACTCATAAACACAATCTGCTGAGCTCAACTTTACACAGCCCTTGAGAGTCTGTTGTTGTATCAGAGGACAACAGTATGCAGTGTTGCCTATTACAGTTTGAATTGTAATGCATTACATAATTACGGCATTACTTTTAAGTAACTTTCTCCAGATGGAGAAAGTAAATTATGATCACGTTAAGGCTGCACGCTGCCAGAGCAGCTCACAGCTCAGACACAACTGATGCACAAAGTGATGAGCCAACGCGTGCATTCCCGCACCGTCAAGATGCGCAATCGCGGCCAAAGAGCGCTCACACCCAAAGAGTGCGCACCCTTACCAGCCTGTGAAATGGATGGATCTGGAGCGTCAGGACTCGCACTGTTCACAAGTCCAAAAACAACGAGTCCGAGTCAAGTCCGAGTCTTTAGGGGACGAGTCCGAGTCGAGTTGCAAGTCTCTAAAAATAGCGACTTAAGTCGGACTCGAGTCCGACTCGCAAGTCTCCATCTCTGAGTTAAGGCACTGCAAGACAATTTGAGACCCTCTCCCTCCCCGCTCCTCCCTGAAGTGGCTTTGTTATAGAGCCTGATGGCGTTTCCTTGGGGCACCTCAGAGAGAACAAGTTAAGGGGATGGCTCTGATTGGACAAGATTGTCCTGATCTTTGAGAGCATTCTTTGCTCCACCACCTCCTCCACTGACTCCAGATCCATCTCATGAGCCGGTTCAGCCTCTCAGTGTCCCTCTCTCTTGCACTGCATCTTTAAACAAAACGAGCATAAATTCTATGTTGTAGAGTTGGTTGTTTTTGTGCTCCGGTGCTAACAAGGATGTTATACTCCATGTGGTGGTGTAAGCGCTGCCTAGTTTCAGAGATCACCATGGCAACACGTGCCGCACAGCTGTCTGCTGTCGCCACTCCCTCCACTCTGCTCTGCTCCCTCCACTCTGCTCCCTCCACACGGCTCCCTCCACACGGCTCCCTCCACACGGCTCCCTCCACACGGCTCCCTCCACACGGCTCCCTCCACTCGGCTCCCTCCACTCGGCTCCCTCCACTCGGCTCCCTCCACTCGGCTCCCTCCACTCGGCTCCCTCCACTCTGCTCCCTCCACACGGCTCCCTCCACTCTGCTCCCTCCACTCGGCTCCCTCCACTCGGCTCCCTCCACACGGCTCCCTCCACTCGGCTCCCTCCACACGGCTCCCTCCACACGGCTCCCTCCACACGGCTCCCTCCACACGGCTCCCTCCACTCTGCTCCCTCCACTCGGCTCCCTCCACTCGGCTCCCTCCACTCGGCTCCCTCCACTCGGCTCCCTCCACTCGGCTCCCTCCACTCGGCTCCCTCCACTCGGCTCCCTCCACTCGGCTCCCTCCACACGGCTCCCTCCACTCTGTCTCTCAGACACAGAACGTAGAAATAACCCTTCCGTACTTGAGAAGTCACATGGTTGCCGGCGCGGCGCAGGCACCGGTACAAATGGCCGTCCTGGGACCTCGGTGCGTTTGCCCATACGGTTGTATCTGAAACAAGGTTAGAGTTAGAGCTAGACCAAAGAACAGTCCAGATCCAGCCCAGGTACCATCATGGGTCCAGTCACGGTTCAGACCTCTGCACTTTCTGGTTGATGCGAGCGTAATCTCTGTTCATGTTGAAGGAGAAGATGGAAGGGACATAGTCTGGATGCTCCGGATCTTTTGAAAACACCCCTGAAAAACAAACAGGAGAAATTGTTATTACAGCTCTCAAAATTAGACAATTAAAGCTAAATTGAATATAGAGCCAATTTGCCTGGAGAAGTATGGTAACTTGAGTACTATGCTCTCCTCTTTCCTGCTTTATCTGTCACACCATTATGACTTCGGCTGTAGTCTGTTCATTACTATTCACCCACTGTTTCATGGCATGATGATGGGACCCCAGAACCCGGCCTTCTCCATCGGACTGTCATCCCCGACCTGCATCGCCTTTCTCCTCGTTCTACAGCCTGAGTCTTGCCCTGCGTGGCCTCAGCCCTCACTCTACAGCCCGAGTCCTGCATGCGTGGCCTTGGTCCTTGTTCTGCAGTCTGTATTCTGGATCTATAGCCCGTCAGTCCTTTGGCGTGGATTCCTCTCTCAATGTAGGCCTCCCTGAAGTTTCTCAGTTTTTTTCTCCTCGCGGATGCAGGGGGGTCAAAGGACAGGACACCCGACATTCAGCAACATTTATGGACATTGGTCATCTGCCCCTTATGCTCTATGCATTTTTTATCATTGCATTTCTTGTGTTTAGACTGTTTGAATATTTGATCGGTGTTGGAGAATTCAACGGTTTTGTTAAGTCCTACGAGAAAACTAGTGTTGTGCTTTAGGGCTATACAATAATACATTGAAATAAATTGAATAAGCTAATATGGACTTTATAAAGATTCGTGGGTAGCAAGATGGTAATAGCCAAAATGCCAATCAATAGCCGTTTTCTGAATAGTCAGTTGTTAGGGCTCGTATCTGGATTTGCAAAGACGATATCACAAAATTATTATTATTAATCCAATTATTTTACTACAAACAAACAACAGTCTCAAAGATAGTGTTAAACCACAGATAGTAAAGCCCGGTTACCGAGGAGAACTTTTGCTTTTCAGTGTATGTGAATGGAGCGAAACTTTACTATGAGGGTTCATAGAGATGCGGTTACGCTGACAGTTACTCGGCGGTCCCTTCCTTTCACAGTCTGCGGGTTACAGCGCTCACACGGGTCGTACCGGTGATGAAGTGCTCGCTGCAGATTCGAAGGTATTTTACGGGTCCCATGTGGAGACGGTCCCAGCGCCGGGTCGCCTTCAACCAGAGTTGCTGCAGCTTTGGCTCCTTGGGGAACAGGTACATGTTCACCTTCCGCGTCCCGTCTGGCCCCACGGGTGTGAGCGTGTTGTGGCAGAGTTTCACGCAGCACGACATTTTTAAAGTTTATCTCAAGTTTGTCCCCGTCCAATGTGTTCTGTATTCATGCATCTCCGGGATAACAAGATGGCTTCTGGGCTGTGCTCCGCGGCGCGTGTCCCCGGCCAGGATTTTTTTGGAACAGTTCCGGACTAAGGAGCATGCGCAGTAGTGCACAGAAGTGGCAACATTATTTTATAACTTATTTATTTAATTATTATTACATATTTATCTAAGAAATTGTACTTGCAAACTAATAGTCTTTGTAGTTAAAACAATCAGCATAATAGCAGTCAGAGAAAATATGTAGCTTAAATATCTACAAACTAAAGTCCAGGAGGGGGCGACACTGCACCGCAACACACGAGCCGCAAATTTTCGAGAAGAACTAGGATATTCAAGATGGCGGCGTAAACAAAACATGCTTCGAGAAAAAATAAAACTGTAGTTTGACTAAAACAGGGCTGTACCAGGACTTGACCAGGTCTTAAGCAGGTGTAACCCGGGGATAAACAAGGTCTTCGCAGGTTTTAAAGCAGGTTTATCTTGGCTCTAAAGGGGAGTACGATGGTGGTGGTCGCGGTGCAGCTTCGGGAGGCGGTGAAACGGCGTCTTTCTGCCGCTGCGGAGGAAATCTGTGAACTGTTTGAGAAATGCATCAGGGACTATGAAGAGGAGACCAGGAGACAAAGAGGACAGGAGCCGGAACGGACCAAGATCTGGGACCAGAGCCGGGAAAAAATCTGGGACCATGAAGAGGACACGAGGACACAGCGACTCAGTCCGGGTAAGTACTTTTAGCGCTGTATAGTCTCATAAATATTACGTGTTTGAAGCTGGGGTACGTAACGTTAGTCTCATAAATAACATATAGTTTATCCTAAAGGAGTCTGGTAATAGTCAAATGTAAGAAAGAGCCCTGTGAATCAATAACTCTTTAGGCTGAGAGCATTTTCACTGGCCAATCATACATGTTGTGCAAACTAGTGATAGAAGCCAGGAATTCAAAATGAGACTGAAATCGGGTATCACAGATTTCGATTGCTTAACTCAGTGTCTCCCAAAGTGGGGTCCGCGGCCCCCTGGTGGGCCGCGAGGGTACTGCAGGGGGGCCGCGGGAGGTCATAAAAAAATTAAAGAGAAATATAATTATTTAATGTTAAATTTATAATGTTTTGTTTGTAATATTAAAATATTTGTGTTCATTATTTGACTTGAATAATCCACTGTAATCATTTTTGTATTACAATGTTTGTAGCAGAGGCTATTTCCCCAAAATAAAATAACCAGAAGAGCCTATTCTTAATGTTGTCTTCTTGGTTATTATTTTGGGGGGCCACACAGACCCGTCAGATTTTTAAGGGGGCCTCGGTGTTACTGAGTTTGGGAATGGCTGGCTTAACTAATGCCAAATCACCTGCAAATGTTTTTCTATACTACTTTCTCATGTTTGTTTCTGTTTTCTTCGGTCAGACCCTAAAGGTGGACCACTGGTCTGCAGCGATCGGGAGACCTGGACCACGCTCCACTCTGGTTTGTGTGTGTCTGAAGACCATGACCAGGTCTCGGTAAAGAAGGAGGATGAAGAGGCCTGGACCCCAATGAAGACTGTGGAGGATCCAATCCAGGTCCCTGTGAAGAAGGAAAACACATGGAACTTGCACCGAAGACCCAGAACCAGACCAACACAGGTCAGAGAGTCGGTGCATCACAGCCAGGTTCTTGTGAAGACTGGAGAGGCTTGGACCCCGATGCAAACAGATAGTGAAGATGTAAGCGATCTTAATCAGGTCTAATTTAAACATATTGTAAGATAAGACAAGTGAAGATTTAACTTTATTGATCTCAAATGGAGAACATTTACATTTACATTTGGCATAAATAGAATCACCCTGGTTATGCAAAAAGGTTAACATTTAGTCCCTTTTGCACATAACATTGTGAGTTTATCTTTAACGTATAGATAGTCATGAAGCAAATATATATAAAAGATGACATTTACTGACTCTTAACTCATTGACTGCCAGCCATTTTTGATGACTTCACTGATTTTCAAGACTCCCAGAAATGTGTGCTATGATTATGAGAAATATGAAACCTGATTCTGAAAGACTGGACTGTCTACTCTCAGCAGCAAAAAGAAGTTTGTTTCGTTCTCCTGTAATAGCCAGTCAAAAAGAGGGGAGTGTGACAGAGAGCACCAGTGCTATACCTGTTTTCAGTTGGTACGATTATATTGTGACCTGCATAATCTTTACATCCCCAGATCAAACCAAAGCAGATCCAAGAGTTAGAGGGTCCTGTGAAGACCAAGATCAGTTCACAAACATGGGCTGACTGCCTGGATCCCCAGAAGACTTCGATGCAACTTCAGGAGGACCCAAGCCCGGTCTGTGTGAGACCTGAAGAATGGAAGACACCACAAAAACGCAGCACCATTCAGGTGCAGACGAGCCACGTCTCTGTGAGTAATTATTTTGGAGCAATAATCTAAATAATTAGTTTTATTTAGGGATGTACCGAATCCAGGATTCGGGTTCGGATTCGGTCGAGTATTTGCTTTTTTGACGGGGTTTGGTTTCTGGCCTTTTTCCCCAGCGAACCCGAACCCTGCACTTACACTGTGCGCGCTGTGGCTGTTGGATTCGTCGCGGAAATCAGATTAGTTCGGAAGTGTAAATAAACATGCACTTTAGCGGAGGTTTATATCCTCTTGCTCTCTGTTCCTCTTCGGGTGCGCTGAGGTCTCTTCCTGGTCATGTGATCCCCGCGGTCAAATTAGCTCTAGTTATACATAGTTCCCACAGACCAATGAATGTCACATGACCTCCTCGGAGACGCCATCTTTGATGGCACGCTGCTGTGTTTGTGCATTCCAATAAACAGAAGAATGAGAATAAATGTAGATATTCAAACGCAAATTGGAAAAAAAGGGCAACTTTTGAGCAAATAATTGTATATTAATACAATGGCACCACAGTTTAACGTGCTACGGACATGTTTTACATATTTGATCAAATTATGCAGCAAAAATTAACAAGCAATGCAAACATTTCTCAAAAACTTTAGATTTAATACCAGTTGGAGCTCCATTTAATTATTTTAATTATATTAACAATTAATTTAATTAATGCTAATGCCACACGGACACTCTGGATTGCTGTTATTGTTTATTTCCGCGTTTTTGACCGTATGTTTTGGTGAATGGTGGGCAACTGATTTTTCCAGGCGTAAAGAGCAGTTTATTTTATGACACAGATCTTTTTACAGAAGCAATGCTGTTTGTGAACATTGTTTTAGCCCACCATAGAACTATTATTATCTATTTAATACATTTACGTTGCCCTCGAGAGCCTCGGACGCGACACCGATCCTCCTCATAATAAAGTAATCTAACGCTAAATAATGAAACTCTCAAGTTACCAGCTATCAGCATACACAAGTTAGTACTGAGTAAATTACGTCTGTCAACACATTATAAGATACGATACGCACCTGACACAAAGTGCTCCGAGCATATTCTTGCGTGTTTTGAGGGAGTTTCTTGCCTGTTTATCTTCGCAAGCCATAACCTCCGTGGTTGTTCTGACAAAAGCTTAGTCTTCTCACATTCATGAAGTCTAATGATGGGTATACTGTAAAATCCAAGTTTAACTGAACCTCCGGCACGATTAGAACATCCATTGACCCAGCAGGAGACGACCATTTTCAACTTTATCACACGTTTCAGCTTCTTTTTCTATTTTTTGGCCCACAGAATGCCAAGACAAATGGCGCCGGGTCGGCAAATCCCCGTATGTAGTGACGTCATGTGGGAACTATGTATACGCCGGTGCGAGGGGATTTTATGATTCTTGTTTTCATCTGTAATGCGGTTCTGATGGATCATAAACTAACTGCCTATTCACCAACTTTATGGAGCCGATTACCAGTGCCAGGTACTTGTCATCTGAGCTGCGTATGACTGTGGAAGCAGAGTTGGTGAGTCCATGTTTAGGCAACTAGCCTCTTAGCATTAGCTTCTCTCCAACTTGTCTCTACGAGTTTGGCATATTCCTCAAATGTCCATATATATAATGTTTTGACCTGAACCACTGGAAGCTATTTATGCATGTATGGTGCTTTAGCTCTTATTTTTACATGACATGCACAGTAATATATGTACTTTATCACTGAAGTTTTACACTGCTGTGAACTGAATGTATTTATGTTTAATGATAAGCAGGATTATTATAAATGTTATAATGATAGATTCTGGTCGAGCTACATGTCCAATTTGCAATGCCGATTTGTCTCGTGGTGGTAAGGACCCTAAACAGTACACAACACCGCCGCTGTTAAAACATTTGCGTATGAAACATTAATGGACTGAGGATGGAATAGGATTCGGTATTCGGGTTCGGATTCGGCAGAATCTTAACCAGTGGATTCGGTATTCAGCCAAACCCCAAAAACCTGGATTCGGTTCATCCCTAGTTTTATTGTCATATTATTTAGGCCTGAGGGCGTAGACCCAGGACTGGTCCTTGGTCTGTGATTGCTTGATGTTTGTAGATGTGTATTTATTCAGGACGAGGATGAAAGTCACGTGTCTGTGAATGAGGAGAACAAATGGACAACACGCTTGTCGGAGGACCCAAGCCAAGTCTGTGTGAGACCTGAAGACTGGACCACGACACAAAGACACAGACCCAAGCAGACGGAGGTGCAGACGGAGGTGCAGACGGTGGAGCAGACGGTGGAGCAGACGGAAGAGCAGACGGAGGAGCAGACGGAGGAGCAGACGAGCCACGTCTCTGTGAGTAAAAAGACTTGTATTGGAACATAGTTGTATAGTTGTTCAGTAGATTATTCTCTGGTCTTGACTAATCTGGTTTTAGTGTAATTTAATATAGGACTGAGGCTGTAGACCCAGGAATGACAGGGCGTTCAGACCATCAACGCTGGAACACTGCTTCCGCGCGCACTAGACACACATTCTTTGAATTTCAGACGCTAGGGGTGTTCAAACCAGAAGTCCTGGCCTGCGGTGGCGCCCGTAGCGTAACAGCAGTATGTGTTCACGGAGGTACGCCATTTTATTATTAAACGGTAATTCCGCATCGGCAAACACGCTATAGCTGCGCTAGTTTACAGTCACTGGTGGCTAGAGGCATATGTTCACAAGCACTATGTCCCTCATTGTCAATCCTGGTTTTGCTCTTGTTTTGGCTGTTTACGAGTATTTTCAGTCTGCTTGCTCAGACTGCTAATGTCCCCGTGACCACTTTGCGGCTCTCTGATTGGTCCCTGCACTTGCGGCCCGAGGAAAAAGTTGAGCAATGTTTATTCCCTGCGTGCGTCGATTTTCCGTTCCTGCGCCTCTGCTGCGGCTCTACCGCTCAGTCCGTGCGTGCGTCCTGAGACACACATGCAGTTCCACGCTCGAACGCACGTCACCGTTGACTTTGCATTGAAAGTAGCCGCAACGCATGATTCGGTCTGAACGCCCCATGAGGCTGTAGACCCAGGACTGAGGCTGTAGACCCAGGACTGAGGCTGTACATGTGTTTTTCAGGCTGATGATGATAGTCACGTCTCTGTGAATGAGGAGAACATGTGGACCAGGTGCTCATCTGAGGACCAAAGCCCAGTCTGGGTGAAGGATGAGAATGAGGAAGTCTGGAGCCAGGTTCCAGTGAACCTGTGGACCAACACCCAGGATCAGAGCCAGGTCTCTCTGCACATGGGTCAGGACCAGGGTCAGGTCTCTCTGCATATGGGCCAGGACCAGGTCTCGGGCCCCTCAGATGAGTCCGGCCCTGAGGCTGCAGTACCCCTGTTGGACACAGGAGGAGCTCTCCACCACTTCTGCGCTTTCTGCAACAAGTCCTTCAGAGCAGAGTCTCAGCTTCAGCGTCACCTGAGGATCCACACGGGTAAAAACCGACCTCTAGTTGTGTTTGAAATCAAATCAAATGAAGGTGTTTTCTATTTTCAAATGATGCCATCATTGAGGTCGCAGTTTATGCAAGGCGACCCAGGAATTTACAAGATCTAGTAGCTTTTAGCCAAAAAGAATGTGCAGCTTCACCATCAGACACCGGAGAGCGGGACCGGAGGGCGGGACCGGAGGGCGGGACCGGAGGGCGGGACCGGAGGGCGGGACCGGAGAGCGGGACCGGAGGGCGGGACCGGAGGGCGGGACCGGAGAGCGGGACCGGAGAGCGGGACCGGAGAGCGGGACCGGAGAGCGGGACCGGAGAGCGGGACCGGAGAGCGGGACCGGAGAGCGGGACCGGAGAGCGGGACCGGAGAGCGGGACCGGAGAGCGGGACCGGAGAGCGGGACCGGAGAGCGGGACCGGAGAGCGGGACCGGGACCGGAGAGCGGGACCGGGACCGGAGAGCGGGACCGGAGAGCGGGACCGGAGAGCGGGACCGGGACCGGAGAGCGAGAGCGGGACCGGGGGGCGGGGCCGGAGAGCGGGGGGGCGGGGCCGGAGAGCGGGACCGGGGGGCGGGACCGGGGGGCGGGGCCGGAGAGCGGGGCCGGAGAGCGGGGCCGGAGAGCGGGGCCGGAGAGCGGGGCCGGAGAGCGGGGCCGGAGAGCGGGGCCGGAGAGCGGGGCCGGAGAGCGGGGCCGGAGAGCGGGGCCGGAGAGCGGGGCCGGAGAGCGGGGCCGGAGAGCGGGGCCGGAGAGCGGGGCCGGAGAGACCGGCTACGTAGAACTGGGGGATCTAGACTTCTGATCAGGATCATAACAGAAATAAATTTCTAACCTCATTATATTGAGAAAACACCTTTATTTGACAAGAAATAGCTTCAGATAACCACCAACTTGGAGCTGGAAAACTGTGTATGGGTGAAGATTAACACTGAAGTACCACAGCCACTAGTTTGACCGTTTACGGTTCAACGCAAAGTGCTTTAAAAAAAATCAGATGAGATACAACAGTAATGTAAATAACTGCTTTTGATTTCAGGGCCATATTACCTGAAACACAGTTTCCAATCTCCACTAAGTACTACCTGTCTTCTAGATAAGACTTGAACCAACTTGTGGGGCGATGCCAGCGACACCCACCCAGTCCTGCATTAGTGTTCAGCCAAATGCCATTCCTTACCTTGACAACAGCGGCCTCAGTCTGTGGTGGAGTCGAAAGCCGGACTGGAACATATCAAATGAGCTGTTGATTAGTAGAAGTTAGGTAAAGTGTTGGCTTAAGTACTATGGCCACCAGGCTGCTGCTCTTCAGGCGGGGCCTGATGACTGCTGGGTTCAGGGCATTTGGGAATGTTCCAGATTGATGTTTACGGTCTGTGTGAGTAAAGATAAGACGTCTCAGAGCAGACTTTAGAAATGACATGTAGAAAGTTCCTCTTCTTCATGTTTAAGGCAACAGGTGTTCTTCCAATAAGTTTAACTAAGCAAGTACTGCTCAAATATCTGACATCTCATCCACGGTCTGCCACTGGAACATCTTAACTCAGCAGTACTTGCTTCTTTTACATTCTTTGTCTCTAAGCTTAAGCCTTAGGGCCCAAACCCACTGGCTGCGTAAAACAGAAGAGAACAGATGAACAGAAGCAGCCCCACTGCTCAGTACACAGACTCTGCACTCAGCGCGCAGACTCGGCACGCAGACTCGGCACGCAGACTCGGCACGCAGACTCGGCACGCAGACTCGGCACGCAGACTCGGCACGCAGACTCGGCACGCAGACGCACCACGCAGACGCACAAAATAGAATCCACCCTAATTGAAATATGGCGACGTGTAAGATTTGTTGTAGCTGGCGATGAGGCCCTCTTCTCAGTTAGGCTCAGCTCTCAAACAGTAAACGGAGACATGTCCAGTGGGTTTGGGCCCTTTGGCTTTAGAACTCTCGTTTGTTGACAGAGTTGGCGTTTTTAATGGTAAATGTTGTAAAACTTTGAAGGTGGCGTGCTGCAGAGAAGGAGGCAGTGCCAGGTTCGACAGAACTGCATCAAAAACCGCTCCCAGGACGTGTGTGCGCGCTGCAAGAGGGTGGTGTGCGGGCGCTGCACCGGGGTGGCCAGCGTGCTCTGCCTCAGCTGCATATGACTCACCTCCTCCTGCCCTTTGGCAACACACGTCAGCACATTACAATCTGAACTTATAATACTGCACAGAGATATTTGTTTTTATGGGTTGAATGTTCGATTGATGTTTAGTGAAGCACTTTGTATGAACTGTTCTGTACAGAGAACACTGTAAATGTTTACACACCACGCAGACGGACCAGACAGTACGCAGACACAACATGCGCCACACAGACACACCCAGGGCCGGCCCAGGGCATAGGCGACTTAGGCGGTCGCCTGGGGCGCCATCTGTAGGATGGGGCGCAAAATTTCAGTCTTAAAAAGAAAGAAAAAGATTTTTTTTCCTTTTTTCATTATTCTGTTAAGTGTTTCCCATCACGTAAGATTGAAAAATACAGTTTATGTATACTATAAACTTAATCAAAATTGTCATAATTGAACTCTGCTGCTGTAAGCGGCTCTCTTGTCTCGCCAAGGTGAGTGGGTGGGGGAGGGGCAGCCCCGCGCATCTCAGAAAGTGTGAAAGAAAGGTGGACGTGTTTTTGGTCAACGTTATTTAGGCCCTGTTTATACTGAGACGCTGCGCAGACGTTTCCAGGCTATTAACAGAAACGATCAGGCTCCTAATGCAAATTTCTCTGCGTTCACATGAGGTTGAAAAACGATGTAGTTCTAGCACCCGGCCAGTAGTGGGCAGAGAAACTTTACAACACGACACACGACCCCCAGCCCCGTGCCCAGCCCCCCTCTCGGCAGTATATTCACTTCCTGTGCCAGACCCTCAGAACGCATCAACATCATTCTGCCTTTTAACAGCATCTGTGAAAATGGGAACTGAACCAAGAGCTTCGCGTGGTCTCGTTTGGACGAACGAAGGAGTAGAATTATCCTCTGTGCTGTGCTGGAAGCCCACGAAGCTAGTTAGTGTGACCGCCTAACGAAGCTAGTTAGTTGATGTTTGTTCTCCGCTACTGCGCATGTCCAAATTTACGTGCGGGGAGCAGCGCGGAGGCGGGGGTCAGAGCAGAGGGGGATTTCACACCTTTCCCCTCTCGCGGGTGTGAAAGAGCCCCCTGCTGTGCAGCGTATCTGAGTTGTCCCACTCTGCAGGCTGGATCTGAACACTTACGTTTTCACCCCCCTGGAACACAGTCTTCGTATGAACGGTTGGTAGAAACCGACATCCAACTATACCGTTTTACTGCCACATTGTCTCCGTGTTAACTCAGCCTAAGAAAAGGAAGTCTAAGTCAGGTGCAGCCAAACACCAAAGAAAAGAAGATAATGAAAAACGGGCTCAAAGTAGAGGTATGAACAGAGACATGCAGCATATGGACAGATTAGAGTCTAAACTCTGGTTTGATCTTTAAATCGTCCAAAACGAGTCCGTTCTCACAGAGTTATGACTCTACAGAGTCCTGTTTGAGACAGAGGCAGACACTACGCAACGGGCGGAAAATACGTGCGCGATGAGCGGCGCGTTTGAAACAGAGGCAAGAATGATGCACTTCCATCATGTTTATTAAATAAAGCAGTGAGTTGCTGTGAACCAGGACAACCAGGACTGAACTAGGACTGAGCCAGGATAACCAGGACTGAGCCAGGACTGAGCCAGGACTGAACTAGGACGGAGCCAGGACTGAGCCAGACTGAGCCAGGACAACCAGGACTGAACCAGGACTGAGCCAGGGCTGAAACAGTTTAGGATTAACCAGTTTACACCAAGTTCAACACCCCCTTCGATTATTATACTGAAATTAATATTTAAAAATGGAACTTGAGATGATCAAATCCTAATCATTTTTTTTTACTATACAGTGCCTTGCGAAAGTATTCGGCCCCCTTGAACCTTTCAACATTTCAGGCTTCAAACATAAAGATATAAAAATTTATTTTTTAGTCAAGAATCAACAAGTGGGACACAATCGTGAAGTGGAACAAAATTTATTGGATAATTTAAACTTTTTTAACAAATAAAAAACTGAAAAGTGGGGCGTGCAATATTATTCGGCCCCCTTGCGCTAATACCATTTTTGACAGTGGGGATGGTGTGTTCAGGGTGATGAGCTGTGTTGCTTTTACGCCAAACATATTGTTTTGCACTGTGGCCAAAAAGTTCGATTTTGGTTTCATCTGACCAGAGCACCTTTTTCCACATGTTTGGTGTGTCTCCCAGGTGGCTTGTGGCAAACTTTAAACGAGACTTTTTATGGATATCTTTTGAGAAATGGCTTTCTTCTTGCCACTCTTCCATAAAGGCCAGATTTGTGCAGTGCACGACTGATTGTTGTCCTATGGACAGACTCTCCCACCTCAGCTGTAGTTATCTGCAGTTCATCCAGAGTGATCATGGGCCTCTTGGCTGCATCTCTGATCAGTCTTCTCCTTGTTTGAGATGAAAGTTTGAAGGGACGGCCGGGTCTTGGTAGATTTGCAGTGGTCTGATACTCCTTCCATTTCAATATAATTGCTTGCACAGTGCTCCTTGAGATGTTTAAAGCTTGGGAAATCTTTTTGTATCCAAATCGGGCTTTAAACTTCTCGACAACAGTATCTCGGACCTGCCTGGTGTGTTCCTTTGTCTTCATGTTTCTCTCTGCGCTTTAAACAGAACCCTGAGACTATCAAAGAGCAGGTGCATTTATACGGAGACTTGATTACGTGCATTCTATTTATCATCATCAGTCATTTAGGACAACATTGGATCATTCAAAGATCCTCACTGAACTTCTGGACTGAGTTTGCTGCATTGAAAGTAAAGGGGCCGAATAATATTGCACGCCCCACTTTTCAGTTTTTTTATTTGTTAAAAAAGTTAAAATTATCCAATACATTTCGTTCCACTTCACGATTGTGTCCCACTTGTTGTGGATTCATGACAAAAAATTAAATTTTTATATCTTTATGTTTGAAGCCTGAAATGTGGCGAAAGGTTCAAGGGGGCCAAATACTTTCGCAAGGCACTGTATATATTTGGAGAAAGTAACTTAAAAGTAATGCAGTTACAATTCAGGTACAGTAATATTATAGTGTAATACATTATTTTGAAATAACAGTAATAAGTGAAACATAATGTATTACGTTTTTGAAGTAACTTTCCTAACACTGATCAACAGCAGGTGGCTCTTGTAGGCTGTTTCTTACGTAAAAGTGGAAAGAGAAGCCGCGGGAATGAGCCGCCAAAATGCACATTTTAAAGGTTTGTGACTACATTCAGAGCACACTTGTTCACTGAAATGCCCTCTACAAGTGTGCAAGGGGCGCCATGATATATTTTCGCCTGGGGCGCCTGATGACCTAGGGCCGGCCCTGGACACACCACACAAATGCAGACATTTGTTTTATTATTTGAATGTTGCTGATGTTTAGTGAAGCACTATGAACTGTTCTGTACAAATACACGTTTCAAATGTTGAATGTTTCTTCCACTTGATCCAAACTCAGAAAAGTCTTGTTTCTGATCTTTTTTTCTGTTGAAAACTTTGCCTCATGATGCTGTTTCATGTCAGAGTTGTAAACCGCCGGCTGAGCCCTCAGCAGTTCTTGCAGCTCCAGTGCAGTGTGTGTAACCCTAAAGCGTGTGTTGTGGTGGCAGGGGCGCAGGAACCTTTTGGGCGCTCCAGGACGAAGACGTGTCAGGTCTGCGGAAAGGTGTACGACAACATGACCCACCTGAAGCGCCACATGAGCGTGCACACCGGGGAGAGACCTTTCAGCTGCTCAGTCTGCGGCAGGTGTTTCAGCCGCAGGGACCACCTCACACGCCACCACATCAGCCACACCGGCATGAAACCGTACAGCTGCTCCCTCTGCCCGAGCGCTTTCACCTCCAACCAGAGTCTGAAGAGGCACATGGACTCGCACCAGCAACCTGAGGCCCGACCACTTATCTACTGCAGCATGGACTGAATCGGGTCTGTACTGGGTCTCAACCAGAGCAGAACCGGACTGCTCACCCTCAGCAGCGGGGCTCGAGACAGAGATGTGTCTTCAGCTGGACCTTGACCGTCTTTTATTGATATTGTCTTCTTGGAATAATACTCTAACATCATGCAAAGCATTGTCAATCTCTGGAGCAGAAGTTAACACTTCTTGAGTTGTACAAAGGTATTTCTTTAGTGTTTATCCATGTTTTTTATTTATATATTTTTTTTGACAAAAATGAATAAAAATAAGATTTAAAAAAAGTATAACTTGACTGCTCCATAATCTCCTCCAGAAGCATTTCAGATCATAATCTTAGCATCTCACTGTTTTTGGAGTCCACATGGGTCTGGTCCACAATGTTCAGATTTTCATCACTAAATGTTGCGGACCAGGTTTAAAGTAGCAATATCTACGATTTTTATGTCAAGTCATTATTAAATGGCCCAAATATGTTAAAATGCATTAATAAACCATGGTCTTTTCCAATACTTCTTTTACTGATAACAGTAGTTCAGCCAAGGTAAAATTGAATTCTTATGGTTTTCATTTCGATGTCCCACCCGCCACCGTTTAACCAATCAGAAAGTCTGTGATCCGGGTTGCCAGAACTCACCGTATGGAAGATTTTATGTGTCGTCAGATTTAGAATTATTTTTAGCTTGAATTTTTCCGTTTGAAATTTTTAACCCTGAAAAAGCAAGTTAATATTTTTATCTTTACTTTTCAGTCACTAAAAATTCAGTTTACAAATTTAAATGTGATTAAAATTTCAAAATGACATATTGATAGGAATCAGACTCATGCAAATTGGGATCTTTGTACGACAAAGCCTCCTGGCTGGTTTATTCACAAAATGGTCGTTAATTTTCAGGCAGAACAAAAGACACAGATACATTATATATGGAAATCTACGTCATCATAGAAAAGGCCAAACCTTCGGCACAAATAGCCTAAACAACGAAAGTCTCTGTGGTCCTTGAGACCTCCACAAGGCCAGGTTATTAATACTATTTTGTCTTGCATTTGTCCACCTGTGCAGTACATAGGTCACTGTTTACCACACCCTCCCATTTTATCACATAAACACATGTGATAATAAAAATACAAAAACAACAAAAATAAATCAATCAATCAACAAAAACTTACAATCATGAAATCAAGTAAAGTGAATAACTGATTCTTAACTTGCAAAAAAAAAATACATACAAAAAATAATGATAATAAAAAATAATCACTTTCACTATATAATCATGAATTTAGCTGATTTTATAATTCAAACAATAACAAAAATCTCTATTGGACACCAGAACCAAGCTGATATGAGTCATAGAGCAGGCGGGACTGAGCATTAAGAATCAAATATAAAATTAATTACTCACTTCATCCTAATGTGAAGTCTTAATATTAATTGCTACATTAACCTAAACGTTTTGAATTTTACACTGTACACCTGTACAGCTATTATCTTATACTATTTTAAAACACTAATATGATTATTTTGCAAAGCTATGTATAATTTCTGTTAAATTTGCATCTTAGTGGAACATATAGCTAATAAATCTCACTATCGGACTCCATCTCGTCCTCTTCTTCTAGACAGTAGTTTACACTCATCATTAGCGGCATTGTGTTAATATACTGTTTGGAAACAAAAATTAAAAATGCTATTTGATGTGAATGTTGAGTAGAGCATTGGCCTTAGGCCTGAAGGTCGTGGGTTCAATTCCCACCTCTACCACCTTCTCCACGAACCTCCCACTGATGATGCTGTCGTGGTGTAATTGGGCAAAGACACTTAACCCCACTTTGAACAAAGCCCACGCTGAAAAAGCAAGGCTCGCTCACACTCAGAGAGCAGCGTCCTCCTGTGGAATCACCACATGGCAGTGGTTCAGTGTGGGGCTGGTGCTATGAGGACTTGGGTGGCATCTCTGATGCCACCCCCCTGAACAGAAATGGATTAAATAGTAAGAAAATGGATGGATGGATGGATGATGTGAAAGGGGTCAAGACTCATGCTTCCTAACTCACTTTTACAAGACTCTTTCTCCCCGGGGGGGATGTGATACAACCAAATTGTTTCATTATGTATTTTTTATGTCAATGTTAGCCCAATGTGTACAGAAAATGGTGCAGGCTTTTCATCAAAACTAAGAAAATAGTAAGAACATATTTTCTTTCTGTTCTGAGGTGTTTGAATCGTTCCTTGCGATGCAGGTGTGTCTAAGGAACAGTGATGATCTGGGTCATTTTATGGACATTCCTATTGACATTGGTTCATAACCCACCCCATATGGACCAATGCTCCTATTGGTTTGTCATTATTGCATGGTGAATGTGGTTAAGGTAAAACAGCTGCAGTATATCCAAATATTGCGCGAGCTCAAGTTCGACTAGAAACCAGGTATGTAAGTATGTCCACCTTAGTCCTTGTTCTCAGGTTTTGCATGCTTCCTGTGCCTCAGAGAATCTGACTTTATAGCAGCTCTAATTGGTAATAATCTCTCCATGGCCTCGCACCACAGTATATCCGAGTATGTTAGCGCCATTCAAACCAGCTCTGACTCTGAGGAGCACAGGGACTGGCCTCCTGCTGTTACCAGGGTCAGGAATAATTATGGGGAGGCACCGTGTCAATTCATGCGAGCAGAATTTTGAACAGTCTCCCTGAGCTTGTGAGGACAGGCCTCGTCCATGGAAATGTTATGTCCAGGCTGAAATCAGTCTTATTCAGGTATGCATTATGACTAATTTGAAGCATTTTTTAAATTCTTTAACTTTATCTTTTTTAATTACTATTTGTTTTATATGTGCTATACACCGTTTTTACGTATTTTAGTCCGGTTCCTTTAATTGCTTGTGAAGCATTTTGGGCTAATCTGTATGAATTGTGCTTTTTAATTAAATTTGATTTGATTTGAAGGAATATCGATATATTGCCTAAATATTGAAATCATAAAAACCATAACAAAGTCATACTTCATTGTTAGGTCACATATTCAGACCTGTGGTCATTTTTTTTGTTGACAAATTTGCCAAAAGTTTCCAGAACCTCGAGGTTATATTGTTTTGATGCAGTGGCCACTTTTAATAAACTTGGCAATGTGGGCCTTATTTGGCACACTTTGTGCATTATGTTGACCACACCGTTTTGCTCAAATAAAAAATCCAAAGGTTTTTGTTTTGGGTACTTAAAAGCTTCCTTACTGAATTGATTTTCAAAGGTTTATATTTTTGTTACTGTGTAAGTACAGGCGGTGTTAAACATGCTTAGTTTTCTTGTGTTTTTTGCATTTTATTACATGATGTTCTGTTAAATTAGTCAGGAGTCAAATACCAAAAATCGAACACAGCATGTAAATAAAAACATGACTTTATGGTCAATGTCAATTACAGATCCATATCTTGGTTGCTCTGACATGGACCTTTTTGGATAAAACAGAAAAAATTAAATGGGAGTGTATCTTACTGTTCCGCCTTCTGCAATAATGAATTCCAATGTAAAAAATGAAAGGACATTTTACAGATCCATAACATTCACATTGTGATTACAGAATGTGGTTAAAGGGTGTAACTTTGATTCGATCTATCATTTGTATTTGTGATTTTTCGATCAACGGGATGAAGTCCACGGAGCTTACAATCTCTGTCAACATCATGGTCACCTGCACTTCTGAGCTATGATCTACTTAAACAGTTACAAAAAGTTATGTTTTTATCATTGTCTATTGATTCTACAGAAACAAATGCTGCAGTCTGTGTTACTTCGGCTTGTCTTCCCATGTCCCTCAAGTAAACAGATTTCATCTTTGTTTGTATTCTCACCAATTACCTTATACACACACTATAATAAAGTTGGTTCTTTTTGTCACAAGGCAGTTTTGTCTGACCTGGTATCAACTTTATCCATCAGTTGGGTGGATAAGCTGTCGGTCTTTGGTTGTTTTGTTTTGATTAGTTGGTCAATTATTTCTTAGTCCTTCTATATCAATGATACAAAAGGTTTCCATGGGGAAATGAGATAATAAGCTGGTAATCATGCAGGTCAAAATGTGGGATTTTACTATGGCTTCATTAATTCAATGCATATATCTTTACATTAGTTTCACAATTTTTAGTAGAATTAGAGATTTAAAATCGGAGTTTACTGGTTTTTCAATCTGCAGCTGAGGGAAATAAACTATTCTTAGAAAGTAAGGCTTTTCGCTGGCATTGTTTGCAATACTACGCTGCCTCTAACTGACCCCTTTGTGGACTTTACTCCATAATTATTTGACAAATACATGCACCTGTCAGAATCACGACTTCAACATTTCAGATCGATTTTATTTGCTTCCTGTGTGCGTTATGTGTAGTGGGAGGAAAGTGGAAAAAACAAACTGTGTAACCGCTCTGCCTGCGACTAGTGAGATGACGCATTGTTCACTTCCGAAACGGGACACAAGGCGGAATGAGGTTTTAACACGGTCCCCTGAGCGGATGAGGTCTGAGGAAAAACACAGCCTAACAGTAGGCACTAGGAGAACTCCATCATCATAGTGGTTGTGTTTTCAGAGTTGTGATGAAGGCAACTCCAACACAATTCTTCAACTTTAAATAATAGTATATATCAAGAGAACCCCAAAGAAATCTGCTCAGTTCCATGTGCTACGAGGGATCAAACCATTGAAGTAGAGGTGAGGGAAAATAAGATTATTGCGTTATTTATTTCAATTATTATCCGTTTCACTTTTGGCGTTTTACGCCAAGATTATGGTTTTACGCGATTATGGCTGCTTTTTTGTGGATCAGGGCTGTGTCATGAATGTTCAAATATAAAGGTTTTTTGAACTTTCCTTCCTACATTTTTGCACTTAGGATTGTGCACAAATGGTGGTCATACCCAATTGTTTTTGCTATTATATAATTATATCCTACACATACATTTGTGAGTTATATACATTTAAAAGCAAGATGCCATCTAGTTTATGCAAAGATATGGATTAATTTCCCATACTGGATTATTTTTCAGAAATCAAAAGTGGATATTGCATTTCAATGGACATTTACGGAAGAAATGGCACGCTTGGATTAATCGCTGTGGCCTCTTTTTCCTTTTTATTTTTGTTTTGTTGGCTTCATATTATGCTTTATATCTTTTTAGTGTAAAGTCTGGTTATTGTATGCACTTGTATCTTAATGTTGATGAGAAATATCTTCTAAAATGATGAATAGCTTGTGGGGTTGATGACCTCATAATAATGTGCTTTTACAAGCTGAACTCTGAAAAAATCAGTGACGGTGGGTGTTATGTGGTTAATGTGTAGGATCATTATAATGTGACATTTGATATTTTCTCAATTTTTGTAATGCCTTTGAATAATATGAGTGACATGAATCGTAATTAATCGCATCTAGCATCTATTTATTGAATTGTGCCTAGATATCGGCTACAGTCATATTTTTGCCAATTCCCACATGAATACGAATTCAATATTATATTTGGGGTTTATTAAGCTAAGAAAGATTTGATTTGAGCATTATCAGCATAAAAAAACATAATTCAAAACAATAATGATCAAACTTGATGGATTCGCTGGATACTCGATTCAGATTTTTTAAAACCAAACAGAATGAAAACAATAACAACATGATGCAACATTCCCTTAACAGTCTTGACAGAAGACTTGCTTTCTTTTGTCGGATCTTTCTCGTCCAGCAGCACTACGTGGTAGATTGCCCCCTAAATGCTGAAAAAATTTACAAAGCTTTTTTATTTGGGAAGAAGGACTCATTCACAAGGAAGGGATTGTGGTAAGTAGTGTTGATCCTGGACACTCATCATTTATGGTCAATTGGTATTCTGCTCCTTATTCTGTTTGTTTTTTTTCTTTGAATTATTGCGTTTGAGACCGTTAAATTCTTCTGTTTTGTGTTTGTAAATTAAACGGTTTTGTTAAGTTCATAGAGTGAAAGCTACTGTTGTGATTTAGGGCCTATTCGTAGAATGAACTGATTCGAATTGATATGGCTATATCACTTTATGATTATGTTTGACTCTTTCCAACTAGTTCTGCGAATAAAAAACGTTCGATTGGGGGAATTAATTTGCATAACGGAAGTAGATTTTGGTTTGTCATCAACTTGGAATCACAAAGAATGCATTTTACCACTACATTGCGTATGGAATCTTTTTTTATTTAGCCTTTCACAGACCAGAGTCACAAAGTAGTTGCACTCGTGTTCACAACAATGAAGGACACAGTTTGATGCCTTTCGACTTGGAGTCCCCATGTTGCAAAGGTTTCCATCAGTGGTACTGGGTATCATTGGCTACCACTAAAATCATCTACTATACTTCGAATGTCCCTGATGTGGGGGACAAATTAAGGTTCTCTTTTTTATATGAGTGCGTGTTTGAGGTTTTTAAATTTAATCTAAAAATGTGTTACCCACATTTAACCCCATCAAAAGTTTACTTGTTACATGTATTTGGTATGTAATTTTATGATGTTTGTTTGATTGTTATCTTTCGGGTTGAAGCACTTTGGGGAGTGGTGTGTAAATGTTTCTATACAAACAAACCTGACATTGACATTGTGGGAGTTGCGGGACAAAGATGCAAATTGACACTTGGCTACTCCCTGGAGGACTACATGCACACAAATAAACTATAAATTACTTTAATTTTGGTTTAATACAGTGGACTCCCACATGTATTCTTGTGTTCAAACGGTAGATTCTTATTTCTATTTTTTTGTATATTCTTTTTTTTGTGATAAATTTTGTATTTATTTGTCCATTTTGGTTTCTGCCACTGATGAATTGGTACATGTATTCTTGAATTGTTATTGTTATTGTAGAGTTACAATTGAAGGTTCACATGTTCACATTCACCCTCTATTCTCTTACCATAAGCTTCACCATATCATACTTAACCTACTGAGTTTGTCTCTTTGTACTAGGAAAAGAGACAAAATCAATTCAATTGGGGGATGGACTACAGATGGAATGAGCCTTTGGCTATTATTGGCATGTTTACATTCTTGTTTTCTAATGTGTCTGTTCATTTGAAATGCACTGTCCATTCAAATAAAGTAAATAATATAAATAAATAAATATTTTTATATAGCCCTAAATCCAACAGCAGTAATCTCGGAGGACTTAACAATACCGGTGAATTCACCAACACCGAATCAGGTAATCAAACAAACAGACGACTGCTGTTGTGTTTTTGGGGCGATACAAAAATAAATTTAATTGGTTTTATTCAGTCCTGCACCCTACATTTCACACACGTTAGTATCAGTTTTCTTAATGTGTAAGAATGTTGTTATTCTACAGACTTTGTTATGAAAAGGGAAATCCATTTATTGGGGCTATTGGCCAGTGCAATAAATCCTATTTACTTGCTTCTGAACATTAACGCACTTTTAATACCAAATCAAGCTTTGTCGTCTTCTGCTTTGTCTAAAATGTCAGTGCATAAGGTTGTGATGTGAAGTACAGAATTGAGATTTTATTTTAACCAGGTGCTACGTAGTACAAGAGAAAGGTATTTTTCTGAAAATGATTGAATGCTGCAGCAACAATCTGCGTGTTCTGTTTTCAACAGTTAATAGATTAACAAACCCCCCTGTTCAAATGCCATTAGAGCTAACTTCCAAACGGAAATGTAATGAGTTTGCACATTTTTTCAATGACAAGGTTCAAGGCATCAAAGTCAAAGTCTCAATCCTAATCCTGTTAGATCTAAGTGCTGCCTTTGACACTGTCGACCATGAGATCCTCTTACAGAGACTAAAGGACTGGGTTGGCGTCGCTGGCACCGCCCTAAGTTTGTTTAGGTCTTACCTTGAAGACAGGAAGTACTTTGTGGAGATTGGAAACTGTGTCTCAGATCATATGGCCCTGACCTGTGGAGTCCCACAGGGGTCGATCCTGGGCCCTCTTCTGTTCAATCTCTACATGCTGCCGTTAGGTCAGTTAATACGCAGAAACAAAGTTTCCTATCATAACTATGCAGACGACACTCAGATCTATGTCTCACTGACTGCAGGAGAACATGGACCAGTGGACTCACTCCTTCACTGTATCCAACAGATCAGTGAGTGGATGCAAAACAACTTCCTTCAGCTAAACGCAGACAAAACTGAAATGATTGTCTTTGGTCCCCAGAAACAAAGAGAGAGCGTCATCTGTCATCTACAGTCTCTCTCCCTAAAACCTTCAAACAAGGTCAGAAATCTAGGGGTAATACTGGACTCAGACTTAAATTTTAATAGCCACATCAAATCAGTAACATCAGCAGCTTTTTACCATCTAAAAAACATTGCCAGGATCAAAAACATAGTGTCTAAAGCAGACCTGGAGATTCTTATCCATGCATTTGTCTCCAGTAGGTTAGACTACTGCAATGGCCTGCTCACAGGTCTGTCCAAACAGGCTGTAAAACAGCTGCAGTACATTCAAAATGCAGCAGCTCGAGTCCTGACTAGAACCAGGAAGTACGACCACATTAGTCCAGTCCTCAGGTCCCTGCACTGGCTTCCTGTGGCTCAGAGAATAGACTTTAAAACAGCTCTGCTTGTGTACAAGTCTCTCCATGGCCTCGCACCAAAATATATTAGTGACATGTTAGTCCCATATGAACCAGCCCGGACTCTGAGGAGCACAGGGACTGGACTCCTGTTAGTGCCCAGAGTCAGAACTAAACAGAGGCGAGGCTGCTTTTCAGATTCATGCTGCTAAAATCTGGAACAATCTTCCTGAAGATGTGAGACAGGCCTCCTCTCTGACAATGTTTAAAACCAGGTTAAAAACGGTGCTGTTTAGCTGTGCATACAACTGAGGGATTTTATATTTTTATCTTTTGTTTTAATGTTCTGTGATTATTTATGATTTTAATGCTATCTTGTTCAGCACTTTGAGTTGCCTTGTGTATGAATTGTGCTATACAAATAAACTTGCCTTGCCTTGCCCTGCCTTGCCTGATGATGATAAATAGAATGCACCTGTGTGTAATCAAGTCTCCGTATAAATGCACCTGCTCTTTGATAGTCTCAGGGTTCTGTTTAAAGCGCAGAGAGAACCATGAAGACAAAGGAACATACCAGGCAGGTCCGATATACTGTTGTGGAGAAGTTTAAAGCCGGATTTGGATACAAAAAGATTTCCCAAGCTTTAAACATCTCAAGGAACACTGTGCAAGCAATTATATTGAAATGGAAGGAGTATCAGACCACTGCAAATCTACCAAGACCCGGCCGTCCCTCCAAACTTTCATCTCCAACAAGGAGACGACTGATCAGAGATGCAGTCAAGAGGCTCATGATCACTCTGGATGAACTGCAGATAACTACAGCTGAGGTGAGAGAGTCTGTCCATAGGACAACAATCCGTTGTGCACTGCACAAATCTGGCCTTTATGGAAGAGTGGCAAGAAGAAAGCCATTTCTCAAAGATATCCATAAAAAGTCTCGTTTAAAGTTTGCCACAAGCCACC